TAATAATACAAGAATACTCATGAATCCATAAAAATCCTAGAAGAAAATGTAGGCAGCAAAATTTCGGACATCATACGCAGCAGAATTTTCACTGATACATCACCTAAGGCAACAGAAACAAAGGAGACAATGAACAAATGAGACTACATCAAACTCAAAAGCTTCTGTACAGCAAAAGAAACAACCATCAAAATGGAAAGGCAACCCACTCTATGGGAGAGCATAATTGCCAATGATATATCAGATAAGGGGTTAATTTCCAATATATAGAGAGTGCTGATACAGCTTAACAAAAGGAAGACAAAAAGCCCAATTAAAAATGGGCAGAGGAACTAAATAGACACCTCTCCAAACAGGACATATAAATGGCTAAGAAACATATGAAGAAATGCTCAACATCACTAATCATCAGAGAGATGCAAATTAAAACTACACTGAGTTATCACCTCACACCTGTCAGAATGGCCGCCATCAACAAATCATCAAACAACAAGTGTTGGCAAGGGTGTGGAGAAAAGGGGACTCTAGTACACTGTTGGTAGGAATGCAGACTGGTACAGCCACTATGGAAAACACTATGGTGTTACCTCAAAATATTAAAAATTGAACTGCCATTTGACCCAGTGATCCCACTTCTAGGAATATACCCTAAGAAGCCTGAAGCACCAATCAGAAAGAATATATGTACCCCCATGTTCATAGCAGCACTATTTACAATAGCTAAGATCTGGAAACAGCCCAAATGTCCATCAGTAGATAAATGAATAAAAAAGCTGTGGTACATATACACAATGGAGTACTATGCAGCTCTAAGAAAGAAAGATCTCTTATCCTTGAGATGACATGGAAGGACCTGGATAGTATTATCCTAAGCAAAACAAGCCAAGCAGAGAAAGACAAATATCACATGATCTCACTTATTTGTGGAATATAATTGCTACAGGGTAGTCCCAGAGACATGGAAGTGGGGTACAGACTGACAATCCCCAGAATGGGGGGAGGGGGAGATAAACCACAGAACTTATATGCATGTATGCATGACCAATGGACATGGACGACAAAGCTGGGGACAGGACGAGGAGGGTGAGGGAGGGGGGTATCAGTGGGAGAAAAAGGAGAAACATCTGTAACAAAAATAAATTAATTAAATTGAAAAAAGAATAAACTCTGTGTTTTGCACGCTCATGACTGTAAAACTACTTTTGCCCACTCTGTATTATCGGTAAGCCTTCTGGTAAACAGGCTATCAGTAGTTACCCTTTGCGGGTTGAAAGTTGTGCTCGGATTTTTAACTGTACAGGGATCAACCCCTAGCCCCCCCGTTGTTCAAGCATCATCTGTATAGTGAAAATGCTCCAGAACAGAAATAAAGCAAGGATGGAAGTATGAAATATTAGGGATAATGGGTGCTGAAATAATTGAGAAGCTGACTTTAATAAATATCCAGCTTGGCCGGTGTGGCTCAGTGGTTGAGCATCGACCCATACACCAAGAGGTTGCCGGTTCGATTCCCAGTCAGGGCACATGTCCAAGTTGTGGGCCCAATCCCCAGTAGGGGGGCATGCAGGAGGCAGTCAATTGAAGTTCTTTCTCATCAATGTTTCTCTTTCTTCCTCCCCTTTCCTCTCTCTGAAATCAATAAAGAAAACAAAAATTTTTAAATAAATAAGTAAATATCCAATTGATGGTTTGGATGGATATAAACCTAATCAAAAGTAATTCCTCCCAGAATTCAAGGCTATTTCTCCATTTTTGTTGGTTTCTGAGTTGCTGTTGAGACGTCTATGCCCTTTTGAGTCCTGGTCCTTCTGTTGTGACTTTTCCCCCCACTCTCAGGGCAGGTGGGAACCTGTTTCCCTTGGCATCTGGAACATCTCAGTGACGATCTTGAGTATGTTGAGCATTTCATGAATATTTTCAATGTCCAATCTCATGTCCTTCAGTTTTGGGGCCAATTTTCTTATAATACTTTTTGTAAAGTTTCTCTGTGTTTCCTGATCTCTTTTTTTTTTGTATCCTCACCTAGGACATTTTTGCATTTATCTTTAGTTAGAGCGGGAGGGAGAGAGGGAGCAAGAGAGAGAGAGAAAGATCGATGTGAGAGGGACACATCGACTGGTTGCCACCCACACAACCACAACCAGGGCCGGGGACAAACTGCAACTGAGGTACATGCCCTTAGTGGGAACCAAACCCGGTCTCTCTGATCCTTGGGCTGATGCTCTAACTGCTGAGCCAACTGGCCAGGGCTTCCTGATCTCTCTCTCTCTCTTTTTTTTTTGGTAGGTGCCCCTAGCGGGAACTGAACCTGGAGCTCTCTGGTCTGCAGGCCCATGGTCCAACTGCTGAGCCAAACCGGCCAGCGCCTTCCTGATCTCTTTTTATCCAAATCTCCATGATTAGATATTGGAATGCTCTGAAGTAATTTCCTTTTTTTTTTTATTGGTTTTCATCCTTTTCCCATCCCTTAGTCTTAAGATTTTATCAACTTTTTCTTTTTCACTGATTTATTCATTTCTGCCCTCATGGTTCCCAGAGCTCACTCTTTTTTCTTCCTTCCTTCCTTCCTTCCTTCCTTCCTTCCTTCCTTCCTTCCTTCCTTCCTTCCTTCCTTCCTTCCTTCCTTCCTTCCTTCATTTTATTTTTGTTACAGATGTTTCATTTTTTCCCCCATTGACACCCTCCTCCCCATCCCCCACCCCACCCCATCCCCTGCTTTGTTGTCTGTGTCCATTGGTTATATGTACAGGCATATAAGTTCTGTGGTTTATCTCTTTCCTCCCCCTTCCACCCCCTCTTCTGAGGGTTGTCCGTCTGTACCCTACTTCCATGTCTCTGGGTCTACCCTATTCCTCGGACTGTTATATTCATTATGTTCCACAAATAAGTGAGATCATGTGTATTTGTCTTTTTCTGCTTGGCTTGTTTCACTTAGGATAATACTTTCCAGGTCCCTCCATGTCATCTCAAAGGATAAGAGATCTTTCTTACACCAGAGCTCACTCTTGTTCTCCAAATATTCCCCTTTTCTCGGATTGTCTCATCTCTTCTGAGTTTCTGTTTCTGTTTATTGTGGTCTTTTCTCTCACATTAGAGGCTGTTATAAGATGTCTGTTAATCCCCGGTAGTCTGCTAATGTGTGAGGACGCATGCGTGTACTAACGGGAAGCTTTTCTATATGGACCAGGCTGCTCGACAACGGGGTGACCAAACAGAATCTGAACAGTTACCCTCAAAATCCTGTTGCTCTCTTCCCGTGGGCCAGGCAGCTTTCCTAGAGGGGTTCCTCCAGTTTCCTGACGGAGCTGCCATCCCTTTGCCAGCATTTTGTCAGAAGGCACTCACCCACCCACCCTGTGCCCCGTGAGCAGAATCTGGTGCGTTGGTTCAACTTCTTCAGCCTTCTGTGGATATGGGGAGTGGCCTGGCTACGTGGGATAAAAAGAGAGATGTAGGCAGGTTGCTGTGCCATTAAAAAAAAAAAGAAGAAGATGTTCACTCAGGGCTCATGCCTTCCACTCTGCATTCTTGCCTTCAGAGGGTCTCATTTCCAGGCTTCCCTGGGCCTGTGCATTCTCTGTGGAGCTACCTCCTTGCAGACCCACGCGGCAGCCTTCTGTTGTCTGCTGTTGTTTCTTCCCTCGTTCCCTTAATTCTTTAAGCTCTGCTTTCTTATTCCTCATTGTCATTTGAATGGAATTTCAGGAGGAGATAGAGATAGTTTGTTACATGAGCTGCCACGTTTAACCAGAAGTCATGTTCCGTTTTCTTCTAAGTGTCTCCTGCCAGCGATCACTCTCGTGGACGCAGTGCCGTCTCAGTACATTCTCACAGTAAGATCCAAATTAAATGTCAGGATCTTCGCTTCCCTGGTTCAGTCATCTATTTCTGAGTAACAAATGACCCTAAATATACTGACTTAAAACAACCAGTTATTTGTGTGTTCATGATTCTGCAACATGGGCCAGGCTTGGAGGGAGCATCTCAATTCCGTTTCATGTGACTTCGGCGGGGGTAGCTCTCCTAGGGGTGGGGGTTACCCTACCAAGATGGCTCCACCTCATGACTGGCCAGTCATCCTGGCTGTAGAATGGGTGCTTGGTGGGGCTACCAGTCAGGGCTCCCATTCTTCTCCATGTGGCCTCCACATGTCGTTTGGCTGGCCTGCACAGAAGCCTGGTTCTGTGAGGGAGAATCTATGACCACACTCACCAACAGGACAAGCTCTAGTGTGCAAGCACTCAACTAGCCTCCGTTTTGCATCTCACTTGCTAATATTCCATTGGCCAAAGAAAGTCACATGGCAAAGCTCAGACTGGGTCTCGGAGGAAACTACGCTTTATAAGAGCAAGACTGCTGGGAGGAAGGGTTCGCTGGGAGCCACATACCCTCTGGAAGGAACCCTGAAATTCTGTGCTCCTGTGCTTGTTTTTCTTTGTGTAACTGACTTGTTCCAGTTTCTTTCTGAGACATTGAGGTGCCACTCTTTTCTTAGAGATAGTTTCATACGGTATGAACATTAAATAAATATGTGTTGGACCACAGAAATATTGTCACATGCCACTTAAAATGTTTCTGAATGGACTGTAAAGATTTAAACGATATATCTTACACATGGCTCTGATGAATGTGTCTTTAGTTAGTGAAAGACACGGGAAAAAATCAGCCTATGGGGTTAAATTCCTAAATGTACCTTTCAATGGAATTAAGGATTGGCTTTTGCTTTAGGCTACCAGAGGTTAGCTCTTTGTTCTTTTGGTTTTAAAAACACTGAAAATTAGCTTCTTTAACACCTGCCTGGACTCCATAGAATAAAAATGGGTACTTTTGAGATAACCAGAGAGTGCATTCCTTGGAAATTCTGAACACGTATTTCTTGTTACATGCTGTCAAGCTTGTCCAGAACATTCCTGCATGTGCTCAAACAGCAGTGGCTCAGCTTGTGCTGTGTGCCCTGTGCATCTTGGTTGTGGCTGACACTGTGTTTACTTTGCATGCAGGGGTTCTCTATCTCCAGTACGGAGATGAAACCAAGCAGCTCAGGATGCCCAATGAAATCACAAGTGCAGACACAATCCGGGCTCTCTTTGTAAGTGCCTTTCCACAGCAGCTCACCATGAAAATGCTGGAGTCGCCCAGTGTCGCCATTTATATCAAAGATGAAAGCAGGAATGTCTATTATGAATTAAATGATGTAAGGTAAGTAGTTATACCGTGTGTGTGTGTGTGTGTGTGTGTGTGTGTGTACCATATTGCATTGCTACAGTTTGTATTGAGTCCTAATCTCTTCGTGTCCCAGTGAAGAAAGTATTGCTCTTATCCTGACTGGCAGGCTTATCTCACCCAGGTGTGAATTCACTATCTGGTTTTCTGTAATTCACTTACATGGTGTAGTTTACAAAGACGAGGCCAGACTTCTCCCACAGAGATCTCTGCATGTTACATCTGAAAAGAACTTAGGAAATGATTCCATCCACTGGTTATCTAAGAGTTGAAGAACTACTTATGACTGGAACTTTCCCAACTTCTGCCCAAGCGCTCTGCCCCTCAGAGACAGAGCCTGTAGACATGTCAGGTAATGGTCCCGCTGAGTCATTCCATACATGAGCAAGTTAGAATAAAAGCAGAGGACTCAGTTACTGTCCACAAGGAAAGAGGCTGAGAAGTATTCTCCCTTTCCAGTTGTTTCTTAAGTAGTTGGCTTTACCAAAGGATTTCACTTTCCAGATGGGCTTTCTCCAGGACCCCCAGTAGAATGATCTCTAAAGTGAGGCTAGATGGACTCCTGCCACTGAAGGAAATGAAAGCATCTTTACCGGCTGTAGTGGTGCTGTGTATAGAGCAGAAGGGACCCACCTGTTCTGTCCCCACCAAACAGCCTGAGAAACAGGATGTAAATCAACACCAACAAGCAGATGCTAGTATGGCCTCTAAATATTTTAGAAATTAAAAAATTATTTAGTGACTAATGTAGCCTTTCTATTTTATGGTGCCAGACATTCAGAAGCATAAAAGTTAATGGACTTATTCATGACTGCACAGCCAGTTCATTACCACACCTAGTCCAAACCTGACTGTTCACATTCTTGGTCAAGGATTTTTTTATCCCCTCGGCGGCTCATCTGGGCCACAACATGGATTTCTGGGTACTTGCCCTGTGGGGACAGCAGGCTGGCCTGTTTCTTCATTATGGAATTAGTGGAAACTACTTTTTAAAAATATGCCTTTAATGCATAATAAATGTAAACTGATAAATATCTTATCTAGTCATGTGCCCAGGTGCATGAGCAATTTAGCGCTTTCAAAGTTTGACACATGCCCTAAGGTAAAGGGTGCTGTACCCATCTCACAACCTTCCTGCTTTTATAAACATGTTTAAATATTCATGGGTATCAGAAAATCCATGTTTGTTTTTTGAAATAAATTATTCACCAGGCTGTCACCTCCCCCCTGCCCCGCAAAAAAGGAAATTTACTAAGCATAAACTTCAACATGAAGTAATCATGTTGTTTAAAGAGTATGTTTGCAGTAATATAATCCCATGCAGAGTTTTTACATGGACGTGGCATTTTACAACAATCCTCTTGAATGTCTACGTTTTGCAGTTAGAGGAATTGAAGGAAACAGTAATAATAAATAAGGGTGAAACCAGGCAAAGCCATTTTTTATTATGGAGCTCAAGGCTGGTGAGGTTACTGTGAACCACTGGACCCACCACCCCCCGCCCTGCACAAGAGTCTTTATCTTACAATGAGTTAAAATACTCTAGAGCCTTCCCCAAGCCTCAGAGTATTGCTAATACTTCCTTTATGTGTTCTGAGGGAGTGTCATTCCACAGTCACAACGAGGGAAGGGGGAGGGAGGACAAAGAGGAAAGATCCCCCAAATTACCAAATTAAGATGACCCTTTTTCATGCCAATGCAGTTGATAAAATAGATGGAAGCAGTGCTTGAGAGACGTGATCACTTTTATCATGGATAATTTTCAGTTAATATGTTTATATTTGCAAAAATGATGATCTTGTTGATCCTGATGCTACAGTATTGATAGCCTGATATTTTAAAAATCTCATTTAAAATGTTTAAGTGGGAAGCCACTGATTTATTAATTGGTCTAGAATTTTACTTTTCAGTGTTTTGATTTACTTATAAAAATGGATCTAAAAAATTTAAGTGAAGATATTTTTATTTGGTGGTGAATACTATATTTATGTTAGGTAATCACATGTATGTCCTTTCCAAAGAATTGTTCTATTTCTTTGCTTGTATGTATAAAATGCCTCAACTATATCTTATTTGAATGGTCGAATAAATTCTCACCATCAGCATCATATAGAACCTCTCCTAACCCCTCCCCCACAAAATAATGTACCATATGGATTTTAACCGAAGACAATGGCTTTCATCTAAACCTAGAGACAAGTTTCATTTCATATCCTTCAGTATTTTTGAAGTGAGAATATACTTGCTAAATGTTTGGCTATTTCATCATTGTGTTGGGTTCTCCACATTTTCCTTAGGGAAATGCCACAGAGAGTTCAGGTTGAAATGTTGTGCTACAAATGTTGCCATGGCAAATGCTATCTGGGCCTTTACTGTTTGTTCATCTTGGATGAACATGTTTCTAAATTAATCATAAACCAACCTCATGTATTTTAAATACCTTAAGAATCACACCAAGTCTTTTCCATGACTCAAGTATGGTTTTCAGTTTCTTCACATCGTTACTGTGACTTTTCCCTGAAGACAAAGCGTGAGTTCGTTTAGTGAATCCCCACATTCTTACCTTCTGTGAACATGCCCCTTCGTAGCACACAGCCCCTTCTAATAACGAGGGCTGCACACTCCCCCCTAAGCTGACTTCTAACGAGCTACTTGAAATCTGGAGCAATCGTGCAAGCTTGGGCTAGTCACTCCTTCAAAGCAATTACTGGTGGATATTTAAAGGAGGGAAGCAAGACTAGTCCAAGAATTCTCCACTTCGTTTAAAACAAAAACATAACCCAATAATCCCAGTGATTGCGATCAGCCCACAGAACGTGTGGCTGCACCTGGAGGAAAGGAATGCCTCTTCCTGCACACGTTTCCCTGAGCTCTCGGAGCGGCGCTGGAAGGAGCCACCGTGCAGCCAAGGCTGCAGTGCTCTGGGTGGCTCTTCTGCCGATGAGCTCTGACTATGAAGGGAAAAGGACTTCGTAGACATTCGCATGCTCTTAAATCATGTTAAGGTAGGAAATGAGTACCGTGTGGGACTTTCGTTCTTTGCTGCAATATGACTGACTCCCCAGCTCTCAATGCTGGGTTCAGAAGGAGGGACAGACAGGTGGACAAATTTATCTGCTGCTATTCCTTCTAAATACCCTGCACATTCATGAATTCAGCTTGTATTTAGAAGAGCATTTTAAAAAACCCACTGTGGAAGGAAAAAAAGCATTGTAAAGATACTAGTTTTGATCTTGGTGGTACTTTTATTTTCTGGGCTACAAATAGATACTCTTTTCCTTGCTGAAACTGTGAGGAGAAAAAAAAAAACATGTTTTGTTTGTGTGCATTCATGCGATAAGCAGAAAACCTGGTGTTTGGGTAAAGTAAGCAATTAAATATTTAAATATTAACTAAATCTCTTTGAACATATTGTGGTTATTAGAGCTTTGTTGTTTCTTAAAGTGTTACCTTTCCTTGCTCAGAATCTTGAAAGAAAGTTCATGCCACCCGATATCTATGGGTGGAGAACTACACAGAAAGAATAATATTACCGGAGGAACAAAAAAATAAAAGGAAAGAAAAGCTGAAGTAATATTTCATTTTCTTATTTATTTTTGCTATTGTATGGTAAAAGAGCTTTTGTCTAGTTGCTTGTGGATAACAGCTGGATTATCTGCTGCTATCTTTTGTCTGATTCTTATGGGCAAAGAAAATGGGCAAAGCTCCTTTTGTCTGCCATAGTTAATGATGTTTTTGATTCTAGGAACATTCAGGACAGATCACTCCTCAAAGTGTACAACAAGGATCCCGCACATGCGTTCAATCACACACCAAAAACTATGAACGGAGACATGAGGGTAAGTGTTCCTGTTCTATTTTTAATTTTATTTGGTGGGTTAAACCATTTCTTTTTCTGGTATGTGCTCCGGATGAAATCACACCCCGCCACCAGGTTTTGGATGTTCTCGCCACACATCTTGTCTGATGACTCATTTGTTTCTTGGTAGAAAAAGATTTTCTGGTCATTTGGGACCAAGGGACTGAAATAGGGCCTCACGCAGCCTCATTCATCTCAAGCTTGGAGTTTAGTTATGTTTCCACTCCAAAGGGATCCTGAAAAATCTTTACATTCATGGGTTCGTGGTCCACAGTACATTAACTCACTCAGAGGATCTCTTGCTATTTTCTCTCCAATTAAAACAAAATTAACATACAAACAGCAATGAAAAATAAATAAATAATTGCATGTAAAATCTATTCATTTTCTTACATCAGCTAGTTTAAGTCTTCGCCCTCTAAGTTATTCACCTTCTAATTCAGGGCTATTTTCTGTTGTAGTATAGTCAATATTATCAAATCTTATCTGAATCATGTTGAGGGCATAGTCCAAAAATCTGTACACCTTGGTAGCTAAAATTCTCTCAGTTTAGATCATCTCAGATTATTCAAAGCCCACAGAGTGTTTGGAGAAAAAAGAGCAGAGAAACTGAAAAGGCACATTTTCACACCACAGTCATGCAGGTCCACTAGAAAGGGATTGTGTTTCCAACAATAGTGCTACATCTCTCTGCGGGGAAAATGGGAGAAAAAAACAAAAAGATTAACTTCTCCAACTGGACCTCCTTCCTCCCCCCTGCCCCCACACTCAAATTTAGAAGATGCTCTGCTATTTTATATCATCTGTTCTGAGGATCAGCACTCTGCTGGATGCTGAAGTTCAACTAGAAAAAAGGAAAGGAATTGGTTTTATTTCCAAAGAAGCCCAGGCGCCGCCTGTCCTGGGGCTGGGGCAGAGGTGAAGCTGTCTCTGCTTCCTGCCCTAAGAACTATCACACTTAGTGGCTTAAAACAACATAGATTCACTATTTTACAATTCTGTAGGTCAGACATCCAATATGGGTGGATTGAGATCTAGGGGTCACCAGCAGGATGTTGGCTTTGCTTTCCTTTTCCTCAGTTTCTGGGGGCCACCCACCTTTCTCAGTTTGCAGCCTTCTTTCTCCAACGAAAGAGCATCTCTCTGGCTCTGCTATCATCACGTCTCTAACCCCGGACACTTGTGATTACATGGGGCCTACTGACACTCCAGAATAGTCTCCCTACTGTAAAGCAGCTGGTTAGCAACCTTCACCCCCTTCCCACGTAACCACAGGTTCCAGGGTTTAGGATGTAGACCTTATCGTTCTGTCCACTACACAGGGTATGTGACTTTAGGACCAACAGGCCAGGAGCTACAGTAGAAAGTGCTGGAAGGATTTCTATGTAAATCTGGCCTGGAATATGAGTGATGACATTGTGGGATCGAAGCCTACACTTCTGAAGGAAGAGGCCTCTTACGTACTCAACTGCTGCTTTTTTTTTTTTCTATGTCAGAAATGATGTGTGATTTGAAGTGAAGGCTGTGTGGCTGCTTCAGACAATCTAGGATTTTGAGGTTTATTTTTAGGCAGTTACACTCTGAATGTAAACCAGTACCACGTGAAGACATATTGAGTCGTGCTAATCAGGAAGCGTGGACTGACTATTATAAAACCCTTTGCCTTTTATTACTTCGTTCCTCTCTTTCTCAGTGATGTTTTTAAGAATCTCTACTCCCTTGGAAAGCTTTGTGTTTGATATGTCCAGCTTTTGAACTAGAGTTTCATAGTGCTCTGAGTTCTGTTTCCGTTACATAGAGTCCCGGAATGGCCTCTGAAAATCTTGTTTATGGCTGGGAGGACACTTGTTTTAACTCTTCAGCAGATGTGGTACCTACATAAGGGGCCAGCAGTGAGCACAGGGAGAATCAGATATTAACCATTTGGACAAAGCCTACTGGAATTCAGAACTTTTGCTACGTGTGTTGGTGAAGGTGTTCTTTCATATGGGTTTTTACTTTTAGATGAGACCCTAGCAATCACTTTGAGTCACCCACAGCCTACTTTGACAGCAAGTTATTTGTTTGTTTGTGTGTTTGTTTGTTTTTGTTAATCCTCACTCAAGGATATTTTTTCCATTGACTTTTAGAGAGAGGGAGGGAGAGACAGAGAGAGAGAGATGTGAGAGAGACACATCATTAGTTGCCTCTCTCACATGCCAGATGCAGGCAGGGATCAAACCTGCAACCCAGGTACATGCCTTTGACTGAAAATCCAACCTGAAACCCTTGCATGTGCAGGGCGACGCTCTAACCACTGAGCATCACTGGCCAGGAGCTAGACATCAGTTTTTTTGTGTGAGGAAATCATCTACTGTCCCCAGCTGAGAAGACAACAAATATTCACCATCCAACCCACTGAAAAGCTTTTAGGTTTCCGTGAGGACAAGTTAGAAATGAGACATAGAACACAGTTAAAAAACCAACCAGGTGTGATTATGCCTGCAGTGTGTAACTTGGCCTCATCACAGACTCCAGAAATTAAAACACATGGAATTCCTTCATCCTCACCTCTTGGCTCTAGAGGTTGGAATTCTCTCTCCTTTCTCATGAACGTAGCTGCCTTTCCATTAAAGGAAAGGAAGCTCTGCTGAGCCCTGTCTGGAGAGCAGCTGCATAACCCCATTGCTGGTGGTGAGGAACAGAAACAGAACAGAGCAAGGCTGAATAGTTGTAGACTAAACTGAGCTATACGGTGGGTTGAGGGAGCTCCATCCTCCCGTGTGTTTGCAATGTGCGCTGGCCATGGAGGAAGTCGCTGATGGCTCACAGGTGTAGCTGCGCAGCCGAGCGCCACCTGTCATTCATTCATGTCCATCCCCAGCCTCAGAGGCCGCCCGGACGGACCTCAGCTGCCCGCTCGTTACCAGTACACATGCGTGCCATGAAAATCATTGGTTGGACCGTGCAGAGACCAACAACGGCAATGCCAGGACTTTGCAGTGGCCTCTGAAACTTTCCTTACACAGTGAACTGAACATCTTGCCTGTGAAAGTAAAGATGTAAGGCTGATCGAACAGGCAGTTCTCCAGAGCAGGGCTATGGTGGTCGCCGTGTTGCTCAGGAAGCGCATCCGACTCAAGCGTGAGCTCGGAGGCTGTGAGCACGCACGGAACATGTGCTTGGCGAGGAAGACGTGTCTAGCTTTTCATTTAGCACTACCTGAGCATTTATGAGGCTAGTCTGTTTAATGAGACTTACGGTTCTCGGCTGGAACTGAGCACACCTGTCTCCTGATTTTTTCCATTGCCTGGCTTTTGTTCTGTTACATTAAGTAGTAGCTTTGATAATTCAGTTCCCTTGGTACTGTATTTACCATGTGAAACAGATGCTTTTGCAAAAAATTGTATGTGTACTCACGGGTTTGTAATTCACAAAGGTACAACTCAAAGATGACCACTGCATTCCTTGGCTCCCGACGGGCACCACCAGTGACCTCCCGTCCACCAAACCCAGTAGCTTTTTCACAGTTTTTGGGCTTCTCCACCTTCTCGTGTACTTTGAGATTACTTCCTGACATTCTCTGCTCCCATCGTTCACTTCTCTCCCTCTTGTATGTCTTTAATTTTTACTAGTATGTGGATAGTTTCCAGATTTGCATTTAGAACACAATCCCCAGAACTGGCCCTGCATCTTAAATTAGTTCCTAATCCGGAATTCAGCTGCTGCCTCCCAGACCTCTTCTGTTTGCGCTCTGCATTTGACCTGATGGGCGATCTCCTTAGAAACCTTGGTTGCCATTACACTGCTGTTTCTAAATTCCTGCTACATTCAAACATGCCTCGGCATCTTTTCTTAAAATTTATCTTTACTGTTGAAAATATTACAGATGTCCCCCCACCTTTTCCTCCCGCATACACCTCAGCATCTTTTTATTCACTAACTCTTCTTCCTCTTGCCCTCTATGATCTTCAGTGTGTTCAGGAAGACTTTACCAGTCTGTGTATATGTATGGTATTTAATTGGCTTTTTGAAAAAAAATCTGCACCATTTCACTTATGATGTTTATCTTACTACTGATTTAACCATATGTCAGTGTGGATGATCCTTAAAACCATATTCCTAGCTCTGCCATTTCTTAAGAGTTCAGGGCCCAAATGTTCAGCTTCCACGTGGTTGTCTCTATATGGATAGTCTTCCAATGTTTCCAGTGTATCCCGTTGAAGACGAAATTTCTAATCTTTATTGTTCTTCTAAGCTATTTCCTCCTATTTTTCTATCTTTGTGAGTGATGAGTGTGTGTGTGTGCATGCACGTATGTGTGTTTTGAGGAGTGGGGAGCAGAGATTTTAAAAGTTGCAATATCAGTGAGTCTTTAGTTGCCTGACCCCTGTTTCTCAGCATATCCAGTCACTGAACCACTCTCCCTTCCACCATTGCCTGCACTGCTCTTACAACAGCTAACTTTTTTTGAGCATTTACTAACCACTTTTCTGGGTAATTTTATTTAATCTTCAAGACAACATTTTGAGGCAAGTATTGCCTCATATTTATAACTCAGGAAATAGTTGCCTAGGTATGCTAAGAAAATTGCCCACGGCCATGCTCGAGCATGGCGGAGCTGTGATTGGAACCCCAGCATCTGAGCTCCACATTGTAGGCTGTTAGCAACACTGCTGCACTGCTGTAGTGGCAGCATTTATTATTTTCCTATCAGTCGGTTATGCAACAGCCTTTAACCAGTCTCCACAACTCTTCTTACTCCACTCTAAAAACTGTTTCCCAAGCTGTCCCCCTAAGCCCCACTTCCCGTTGTGCAAAGAATAGCACAGGCCAATGATCAGTATCATCTCCACACACAACTCCCAGAAAAACTGCCTCACAGTTCTTGCTCCAAGTATATAAAGTGCACTCTCCCACCCCATAAATCTGCCTTTCAAAATTCCATCCAACATACTACAGGACAATGGCCCGATTCCATTGCTGTGGGTGGGACAAATT